AGTATTTGAATGTTTGGCCACTCACAAAGAAATGATCAGTCTAAAAATCAAATGGTAGGTGTATTGTAACAGACAGAATAGCAACAAAAAATTTAAAAGAAATGCATGTCTAACAAATTATGCACTGATTTGCATGTTCATGAGGGAAAATAAGTATTTGATTCCTTATCATTCAGCAGACTTTCTGGCTACCAGGCGTCTTTCATACAGGTAAAAAGCTAAGATTATAAGCAGTCTCTTAAAGGGAGTGCTGCTAATCTCATTTTGTTACCTGTATAAAAGACACCTGTCCACAGGAGCAATCAAACAATCAGGTTCCAAACTCTCCACCATGGCAAAGACCAAAGATCTGTCCAAGGATGTCAGGGACAAGACTGTAGACCTACACAAGGCTGGACTGGGCTACCAAACTATCGCCAAGCAGCTTGGTGAGAGAAGGTGACAACAGTTGGTGCAATCATTCGCAAATGGAAGAAACACAAAACAACTGTCAGTCTCTCTATGTGTGGTACACCATGCAAGATTTCACACTCATGGAGTGTCAATGATCATGAGAACAGTGAGGAATCATCCCAGAACTATACGTGAGGATCTTGTCAATGATCTCCAGGCAGCTGGGACCACAGTCACCAACAAAACTATTAGTAACACACTACGCTGACAAGGTTTGAAATCCTGCAGTGCACGCAAGGTCCCTCTGCTCAAGAAAGCACATGTCCAGGCCTGTCTGAAGTTTGCCACTGAATATCTGAATGATGCAGAGGAGGTCTGGTTGAAAGTGTTGTGGTCAGATGAGACCAAAATCGAGTTCTTTGGCCTCAACTCGCCGTGTTTGGAGGAGGAGGAATGCTGCCTATGACCCCAAGAACACCATCGCAACTGTCAAACATGGTGGTGGAAACATTCTGCTTTAGGGGTGTTTTTCTGCTAAGGGGACAGGACAACTGCACCGCATCAAAGGGATAATGGAAGGGGCAATGTACTTCCCTCAGCCAAGGCATTGAAAATGGATCGTGTATGGGTGTTTCAGCATGACAATGACCAAAAACACATGACCAAGACAACAAAGCAGTGGCTCAAGAAGAAGCACATTAAGGTCCTGGAGTGGCCTAGCCAGTCTCCAGACCTTAATCCGATTGAAAATCTGTGGAGGGAGCTGAAAGTTCGAGTTCCAAACGTCAGCCACCAAACCTTAATGACTTGGACAGCATCTGCCAAGAGGAGTGGGCCAATATCCCTCCTGAGATGTGTGCAAACCTGGTGGCCAACTACAGGAAACATCTGACCTCTGTGATTGACAACAAGGGATTTGCCACCAAGTACTAAGTCATGTTTTGTGAAGGGGATCAAATACTTATTTCCCTCATGAACGTGCAAATCAGTGCATAATTTGTGAGACATGCATTTCTTTTGAATTTTTTGTTGCTATTCTGTCTCTGTGTTACAATACACCTACCATTCGATTTGTAGACTGATCATTTCTTTGTGAGTGGGCAAACATTCAAAATCAGCAGGGGATCAAATACTTATTTCCTTCACTGTATGCACTAGGTGATGAAGGGTGAGATGTGCTTAGTGTCTGGTTTCTTCTATGGACTGGGTGATGAGAGGTGAATTTTCTAGGGTCTATTCCATGGTGATTGGTGTCTGAACTATTTTTTGAGTCCTGGTTGATGGGGAGTGGGAGATGATTGGTGTAGGGTGTCTTTCTAGGTGATATGGTGGTGAGAGGTGTGTCTAGTCTTGTGTACTGTGTGATAAAAGGTGATTGTTGTCTGATTTCTATATATTGGGTGATGAGGAGTGAAAAGTGATTGGTGTCTGATCTGTTCTATGTGTAGCGCTATCCTTGCAGGGGCCATTTGTGGCAGGCGCAGCACCCTTTGGTGCCTAGTGCGCTGTGGCATTAGAAAAATTATGCAATTGCTGTTTCTTTGTTTGATTAGACTGACTTTACTCTGTAATTCCTCCAATGCCGCTCTATGGATGCAGTAGGTTTAAAGAGCACACCGAATACTTTAGTTATCTTCTTTAATAACTTCAATCTTCTTCATATAACTGCTTACAATGGCTTATTTCTTTCATATTACAATGGTTTTAATTCGTATTACATTGGGTTGATTTGATAGCTTATCTCGATAGGTTCAATAGATTCGATAAATTTGTTCTGTATATTTCGATAGATTGATAAATTCACTTGGATTTATAAATTCGTTAGATTACTCTACAGTGACTTGATTCGTAAGTTCGGTGGAACTACAAGTAAACACATACAACAGTTTTTACATACAGATCTACCTGCATTACTAAACAACAGAGGAACACACAAGTGCATTAAATACCTATTTGGCCTTCTCTGTTTCCATAAAGCTTTTCTGATTGGAACCTTGTCTGTTTCCTCTTCTGTCTGGTGAGCATGTGTCTCTAGAAAATCCTAGCAGGGAGTTTTACACAGGCATAAATGTGAAACTGGCTGGGATTGGTTGGCTCTGTACAGTATGAGGCTGTCTGTGATTGGCTCACCTTATACTAACTCTTAAAGGCATATTTTTTCCTTTTCTGCTTCTGCTAACACAATTAATATAAAAATGTCATATAACAATCAAAGACATAAATCACAGCAATGATTCTGCTTTTGGCTTTAACATATGTACATATACACTTACTGAGGTTATTGGCAGGTTTGGTATACACATATATGTGAACCATATTAACAACCTAGGACTGGTCTTAGCTGGCCAGCTACACCACTTGATAATGCTCGTCCCCAGTGGTTGCCCTGACCTTACATGCCTCCTGACACCTCTGACACTCTGGGTTCAGACATATTTCAACAGTATAGGATAATAATGCAAAACACAATTCTTTAGTAATGCTTCTACATTAGTCTTGTTCAAAAGAGTAGACTACAAGAATAATGGGTTTAGGATATACAACCCCAGTTAACACATAAAAATAGAACACTGCTAAAATAGGGATAATTAGTTAGCAACGTTTAACAAATTATACAGTAAAGACTAGTAAGCTTCAACTATTAAACTGCAACACCAGCAGTAAAAGGGGAAAGAAAGGCTTGTTGACTTACCATCTCCCTCTAGCCACCAACACCGCAATGGATGCAAAGCATTATGTAAATGTATACTCTGACATAAATAGATATAGGTAGCCTAATTTTGAATAATAATGGCCTTATAACAGAAAAGGTCCCTATAACTATAGATTGCAACTTGAGTCCTGTGTTTTAAAGTTCCTGACATAGTGGTGTCTATTGTCTTCTGCTAGCAATGGTGGGGCCCATAAACAAGAGTGAACACTGGCATTTCAGTGAAGTTAAACGGGCTGTGGTACTGCTCAAAGCAAAGATCTCCTGATACTAAGATGTAAAGGTGTCTGCATGCAGTGTCTCCAAGGTAATGACAGAAAGAGGTTGGGCATCCATCCGCTCACCAATCCCATGGATAGCACAGCCCCATAGGAACAGTTCTTCCACAGGCTCTTGGGTGTTTGCAGGGATGTGCAGGGTTGCCACCTGACAGCCTGTCAGAGCAGCAGGCAGAGATGTCTGTGTGAAGACCAGATAGTGACAGTCCCGATGCAGAGAAGCTGATGCGATCCTGGTGTGGCAATCTGTGTCATTGCTGTGCTGAACTGATGTGTAAAGTCCTGCAGCAGTACGCATACAATTTATCTCTGGAGGAGAACGGCAGTCCCCATGTGTTCAGCTCTAAATCCCATGGCAAGAAAGCTAGCCAGTTCCTTGCTGTATAATATATCTGCTCTCTCTGCAACCTTCTGGTTCCCCAGCTCTCTGTTAGTTTTAGTTCAATCAGCAGTCAGAAATACAGTATGTATTGGCTATAGGACTACAGGCCCCAAGATTCTCTGCTTTTAGAAGAACTGGATCCATTCTGCTAATAGAAAGTGATGTAGCTGTCCCAGTACTGGGCACTAGGGGGAAAAGGAGTAATCATAGTCTCATCTGTAAATGTCCCTGAAAGGCATAATGATAAAGCTGGCACCTGGCTACATTTGTACCAGGTGATGAGGGGATATTGGTGCCTGGTCTCCTCTGTGTTATGGGTGATATTAAGTGATTGGCATCTGGTCTCTTTCATGTTTTGAGTGATGAAGGTTGAGAGGTAAGTGGTGTAGGGTCTGTTTCATGTTTAGATGACGATGAGTGAGAGTTGTCTGTCTGGTCTCCTCTGTGTCTTGAGTGATGAGATGATTGGTGTTTGGTCTCTTCCATGTTCTGGGTAAAGAGGGGTTTTTGATCTTTGAATTACTGCATGTGAGATGGACTAAGGTAAATTTGTGTTTGATCCACTCTATTTGCCTGCCTTTTTTCTTTTTTTTTTTTGTGTTATCTGCAATGTTTACATCACTGTGATAAAAGTGATATTTGCAGTCTGGTGACTTTTGATGTACAGTATGTACCAGTTTTGAGCATTAATATGTTCCATCTCCGTGATAACACCAAATATTTTGGGCTATAAAGCAATAAAAGCATTCCACTTTTACAGATATTGTATTTTTTTGTTTTACTTCTATGATAAAAAGCCTTTCAAGTGAAGAAAACTGCTCAAAAACAGCAAAAAGAACAATGATCCAACCTTGGGGAAAAAAACGACTGTTTTTCCTCAAAAAACATAAAAACAATAGACTTCTGCTGGCCATGGATGTGCTTATTAAAAAGAAAACTTTAGAGGGAAAAAGAGGGTGCATACCTTATCTTGTTTATAGATGAACCATATTAGGGTAATGGATTTTGTCTTTAAAATAGCATAACTGATAAAATACTGGAGAAAAAATAATTTCTACCATAAATATAAAAGAGTGGGGAAGAAACTACCAAAGTAACATTCTGTTTTGTGTATTTTTGCAAAATGTGATGAACCCACCTGTAGTTGTTCTATAGGTGGGTACAAATCTGAAGAGGCAGAACCAGCCACTGTTATTAACTGCTGCCTTAATGAAGTTCTCTGTTCATCTCATTGCAGGTTCTGATTTTATCAAAACTTCCACTGGGAAGGAATCTGTAAACGCTACTTACCCTGTCGCCTTAGTCATGGTTCGGGCAATTCGGGATTATTACTGGAAGACTGGCATTAAGGTAAATCTGATTTGGGGGGGTGGAAGGTTCATGCTGTTATAAGCTATGTTTCCCCCCCCCCAAGATTTTAAGTAATGGAGATGGTGATGATCCTGTCACAGGGTGTGGGGTGTACTGAAGTACTTGCAGATGGTGGCGGTTCTACGAGACCAAGGAAATGATGGTCACAGTTCTTCAGGAAGGGGATGGCCATCTGGTCCCTCAGGAGGGGAATGCGGGTCCAGTATCTTAGGAGCCAGGTGGCTACATGACCCCTCAGGAGAGCAATGGCAGTCTTGTCATTCAGGAAGGGAATGACAGTCTAATCACTCTGGATTTGAATGACGGTCCAGTCACTCTGGAAAGGAATGACGGTCCAGTCACTCTGGAAAGGAATGAGGGTCCATTCACTCTGGAAGGGGATGATATTCCACTCACTCTGGCATGGAATGACAGTCCAGTCACTGAAGAAGGGCAGTGGTTGTGAAACATGAATCAAAGTGATACTTCTTTTACACTGGATAGAGAAAGCAGTTCCATAGCAGAGGAGTTGTATAGGTCAGATAGCAATACTGGTGATTTTGTGACATACAAGGGGCATGTTTAGCATGTTGCAGAGGAAGAGCACACAGGATGGAAATGAGGGTTCTGTCACAGTGTAGTGAGTGTACTTTTACACAATAGGGGTATGGTGCTAGAAGAGTGACGGTAGAAGGCAGTCATGCCACATAAGAGGATAGTGATAGTGTCACAGATGAGGGAAGGCAGGTATGATGGTTTGTCCTGACACTTGTCTGCATTTGTGTCATATGGGGTCAGTGGTTGTGTCAGACACAGAATGAGGGAAAGTGATGGTCTTGTCATTTTGCTATTTTATTATGGGATTAATATGTCTTCTTTTAGGTAGGGTTCAAGCCTGCTGGAGGCATCCGCAGTGCGAAGGAGTCTTTGGTCTGGCTGTCACTGATCAAGGAAGAGCTGGGCGATGACTGGCTAATGCCAGAACTTTTCCGTATCGGAGCCAGTACACTGCTGGGAGATATTGAAAGACAGGTACAGTAGAGTGCTTAACAAGTTGTATGACCTCCACGCTAATGTGATCATTGATCCCAGCTCATATGAGAATTTTCATAATTTTAGTTGTTTTTGTAATTCTTAAAATGCATTTATTTTGTAATTTATTATATAATATTTATTGTTAACATGACTATTTTGATTTTTGGGACAGATCTACCATCACGTGACAGGCAGGTACGCAGCGCACCATGACCTCCCAATGGCTTGAGTGCCCAGGACACCCATGGGCAGAAGAAGTTGAAGGGATTAATTAAAGACCTAATGAATACCTCATAAGAAATGTCTATCCTCAGGACATAATTGGACTATTCTGGGATGGCCCCACCCTCCTGTGTTTGCCAATCTCCCCATCCGGGGCCGTAGGAGAGGCAACAGAGTCTTGCAGGGACTATCGTGTCTACATTCCTTCACCTTTTAGCATATGGTACTTTTTCCCACCTTCTTTCTGATGAAACGACATTCCATTTTGTCTTCATTCTGATGAGATTGTTCTCCCCTCTGCTTTTGCTCTGATGAGATGGTGCTCCTTTCCACCATAGCTCTGATGAAAGAGCTCTACTTTCTTCCTGTACTTAAACTTTTGCTCTCACACAGAGAGGGGTGTGACTGGGGTAATAACCTTGAATCTGAAATGAACTATGATGGTTCCCATCATTTTGGAATTTCAACCCCCATCAATATGGTTTCCAAGAAAAACTGTCATTGGCTATTTTTTCACTGTGGTGTTCAAGTTGTGTCCAACATGTAATAGGGCCTTTCTTCTTTAATTTGTAAGCTTGTAATGGAAGTTTAGCACTTATAACGGTTGTCATTGTAAATCTGAACATTAATCAGTAAACTAATTTTTTCCCATCTCTTCTGATATTATTATATCTTCAGCAGAATGCTTTGTAAGTGTTTAAGGAGATTTCACGGCTTCAAACCTGAAATAAACAACCTTGCAAACGAGAGCTCCAAATCATATATTTATTAGTGAGAATACAGCTGTATGAGAGCACCTATGCCCTACCTATCAGGTGCTCTGATTAAGTTGATTACAGTTCACATTTTTATAGGGTTTCCTTAGCACATGCTACACCCCTTATTGCTTATCAGTTCACAACACTCATGATGTATAGTGGACCAGTCTGCAACACCCAATGGTGCACAGTGGACCAACACATGTCAAATGTAGCTGAATACACAAAAACAACTGAATGAATATATATATATATATATATATATTAATAGCCATTTTTAATGCAATGGACCTTACTCTAAGATTCTCATGTTCTTATAACATAATTGTACACTTTTATTACTGTTATTTTGTTATAATGTATTATGATGTAGGATATAGTAAGGTTCACGTTTATCCCTATACATAAGCATATGCAACAAACTGTGACATGTAGCAGTTTCACTGAACCATATGCACTTCATACATTGATTTTGTTAGCAAAATGACTTCCAGTACATTTCCTGTGGAATACACTATGTTGATGTTTGCTGCATGAGAGTGGACCATACAGAGTGTGCATGCTATTTAGATGTGTCATATGAGATGGGTGTGTGTTAAGTTAGTATGGTACACATCGTTTGTACATGTGTGTCGTATGTGGCGAGTGCGGTATATGAGTTACATATGTACATACATACTTATGTTCATTTTATATACTGAGGGTGCAATACATTGGAATGTTGTAAACTGTGGATGTGGTATGCTGGATTGTTGTAGACTGTGGGTGTGATAAATTAAGGAACTATACAATATGGTCACAATTATTAGGCAATTTGTATTTTTGAGGATTAACTTAATTATTGAACAACAACAGTGCTCTTGGTAAATCCAAAATGTTAATAAACCTCAAACCCGGTATGGCTTTCTTAGAAGAATATCTGTGTCTGCACAATTATTGCGCAAGTATTAGTGTCCAGAATTATTATGCAACTTTCATCTGTTAATGTGAGAATTTAAATAAACAACTCATAATTTACAAATAAACATTTCTGACCTTTCAAAAAAAAAATCAGTGCCCAATATAGCCACCCTTCATTTCAGTAACCGTTATAAGCCTTCCATTCATGGAGTCTATCAGTTTCTTGATCTGCTGACAATCAACTTTTTTGTGCAACAGCAACCACAGCCTCCCAGACTCTGCTCAGAGAGGTGTACTGTTTTCCTTCGCCGTAAGTCTCCAGTTTAAGAATGGCCCACAAGTTCTCAATAGGGTTTAGGTCAGGTTGAGGAAGGGGGCCATATCATTATTCTGTCATCTTTAACCACTTTCCTACCAGCCGTTGTATATAAACGGCCAGACGGTGGCACTGCAAGGTCGGGTGGCCGTTTAAAAACGGCCAACCCACACCCTGCTTGTGCGCGCTCCCCGGGAGCGCGCAGCACCGCGATCTGGTGCCCGCTGTGTCCTCCGGACACAGTGAAACACCGATCGTCGGACGGGACCTCTGTACGAGGTCCCAATCATGTGATCGCTGATTGGCCAATCAGTGATCACATGCAAAGTAGTAAGCAAGATGTCACTACGTGTGAAATCTGTGAATGATCACAGAGGTCACATGGTACAAGGCTATTCACAACAGCCTTGTACCATGTGACAAGCTGTGACCAATCACAGCTCACTCAGTAGTTCTCAATGGCTGCAAGAATGACAGAGATAAAGAGAAATGATTTCTTTTACATCCTATATGGGTGTAAAAGCAATCAGTGTAAAAAAAACAAAATCTTCATCACCCCCCAAAAGTAGTACAGTGTCACCATGGTGACAGTATGTAAAAAAAAAATATATATAAAAAAAAAAAAAAAAATGTAAAAAAAATGTTTAAAAATCATAATTTTTGGTTATAAACTAATTTGGCTTATTTATTTTTTTTTTTGCTAAAAAGATAACGGAATACATTTTGGCCAAGATTTATGATGAAATATTATTTATTTGCAAAATTTTATAAGAAAAACACTTTTTTTTTTCAAAATTTTTGGACATTTTCATTTACATAGCAAAAAAAAAAAAAAATCCCAGCAGTGAATAAATACCACCAAAATAAATTTTTATCTGTCTCAAAAAAATGGTAAAAATTCATATGGGTACAGTGTTGCATGACCGCGCGCAGTTGTCATTCAAAGTGTGATAGTGCTGAAAGCTGAAAATTGCCCTGGTCAGGAAGGGGGTAAAAGTGTCCGGACTGGAAGTGGTTAAGACCTATACTGGCTAACCACGCAGTAGAGTACTTTGATGCATGTGATGGAGCATTGTCCTGCATAAATATCATGGTCCTCTTGAAAGATGCAGACTTTTTCCTGTACCACAGCTTGAAGAAGGTGTCTTCTAAAACTGGCATTAAATTTGGGAGTTGATTTTGAGTCCATCTTCAACCCAAAAAGGTCCAGCTAGCTCATCTTTAACAACACCAGCTCATACCAGTACCCCACCTCCACCTTGCTGGCGTCTGAGTCGAAGCAGAGCTCTGTGCCCACTACTGATCCAGCCAAGGACCCATCCATCTGGTCCGTCAAGAATCACTGTCCTCTCATCAGTCCATAAAACCTTTGAAAAATCTGCCTTCACATATTTCTTGGCCCAGTCTTGACATTTCAATGTATGTGTCTTGTTCAGTGGTGGTCAGGTTTCAGCCTTCCTTACCTTAGCCATGTCTCTGAGCACTGAACACTTTGTACTTCTGGGCACTCCCAGGTAGGTTGTAGTTCTGGAATATGACAGCACTGGAGGATTACAGGCTCCTGGTAGCTTAACATATGATTCTTCTCAAATCTTTAGCAGTTAATTTTGCGTCTTTTTCTTTTTTTTTCCCAAAATGTTTCTTGAGACCCTGTTGACTATTTAGAACAAAATGTCTGATGGTTCTGTGATCACGCCCCAATATCTTACAAATTTCAAGAGTGCTGCATCTCTCTGAAAGACGTTTTACAAGTTTTGACTTTTCAGAATGTTAAATCTCTCTTTTTTTTTTTTGGCCCATTTTGCCTATGGAAACGAAGCTGCCTAATAATTATGTACACCGTGATATAAGGTGTTGATCTCCTTAGGCCACAACCTCCCTTATTACACAAATACATATCACCTTATAGGCTTAAATCCAATAAGCATTCAAGTTGATACAGCTTGGAGTTAGACAATATGCATAAAAATGATGACTCGGTCAAAATGCTTGCCTAATAATTGTGCACACGGTGTATTCTGTGGGTATGGTCCGTTGGGATATTAAATACTGTGGGTGCAGTACCTCAGAATGTCGTATATACTATTTGTTCAGTATGTTGGAATGCTGTTTACTGTGGGTGTGGTAAGCTGAATTGTATCCACTGGGGTTACAGTCCATTACCATGTTATACACTGTGGGTATGGTATGGCACGATGTTAAACTGTGGGGTCAGTACCTTGGGATGGTATACACTGTGGGTGCAGTATATTTGAAAGCTATATACTGTGGGTATGGTATGTTAGGATGTTAAATACCATTGGTGTGGTATGTCAGGATGTTGTACATGATGGGCTTGATTTTAATAAAACTGGAGAGTGCAAAATCTGGTGCAGCTGTGTATGGTAGCCAAGCAGCTTCTAACTTCAGCTTGTTCAATTTAAGCTTTGACCAAAAAAAAAAACAAACTGAAAGTTAATTGGTTTCTACACAGAGCTGCACTAGACTTTGCACTCTCTAGTTTTAATAAATCAACCCCTATGTGTACAGTATACCCATATTTTGGTGTTTTGTGTTCAACCTCTCCCTTTTGATTTGGTATATAGTGATGAATGCATGTAGACCATTCCTAACTTGTTCTGATAAGGGGGTTGACAAGGGGCTGATACTATTTCCACACAGTTAGGCCTCGTGCACATAGGACATTTTCTTAACTTGCCTAGAAGCCTCTCCTGACGCATGTAAAGTTTGTAACTTGTTTAGGCGCGTTTTAGCTGCATCAAGCATTTGGACGTTATTTCATTCCATTGGCCAGAATAAATAATTCATTCTGGCCATTGAAATTAGTTAATGTTCAAGCGCTAAACGCGCCTAGTATTTAACGGATTTTTAGACGCATTTACTCACGTTTAAAAGCTTCAAGCCTTGTTTGCTGCCAAAACTCTGCTGCTCCTGGATGCACTGGTAGTTTTGTTTTTTTTTTCTACCTCTAAGCTCATGCCTCTAATGTCCTCTAAAAGCCTATGTGTGCATGGACACATAGGCTAACATGCA